GGGTTCGATAAATCATTTCAAAATATTTCTGAAAATCGAAATGTATATAACCAATAGCCGATTCGGATGGTTCCTCGCTTCGGCAATATTAAATCATTCTTAACAATAATATTTTAGCACAGATTCGAACACAGAGGATGTGGAAGAGTTAAAAGTGCTTTCAATGCATTATTATTCTTACTTCTATTTAATTTTTATATAAAATGCATTTCTCCTCTTAGTTGAATAAAATGGTTTTGGGCTTTGTCCGCCTGTAACGTTTTAACTTGACTTTCCTAACAACAAGCTCGGCCAGGATTCGTTTACAATTACTATTACGTAATAATATATTATGGAGTGTTTTCATCAAATCATATAAGCGATTTCTGTTAAGACTTTTTGCACTTTTTTCTTAAAGATTACACTTTGAACTCAAACAAAATTCATAAGCCTGTGCAAAGTTACATGCCGAGATTTGATTTTCTTTACCCAATCAAGAATAATCTGAAATGAATTGTAGTTTGTTTTTCGCTAGTCTTTGAACTTAAAAAATGGAATTATTCAACGTCTAGACGTCAGAAATTGGTTGACAGTTCAGTTTCAGAGATAAAAAAGTTAATCTTAAGAAGAGCGATTTCTTTAAGGTAATTCGCGACAAGTAAACCCAAGTTAATGGATTTATAATATATGTACGTTAATAGCAATAATTTAAATAATTTAAACAATTTCTCGCTAAGCATAATTTATACAAGAAAACTTAAAATATGTAATATGCGTATGTAAAAGGACAAGGGAGATTTATTTAACTATTGTACATTATTGAAGGTTAAATGAGGGTCAAATGCGAAAATATTAATGCATTTACATAAAGTTTATCTTTCAATTTTTATGAAAAGTTAAGAAAGCATTGATTTCGTCTTTGCATTGTATAGAAAGAAAATTTGCATTTAAAACAAATAATAAAATTATATTCGGTCTTAACTGAACCTTTTTTTGATACTCATCGTTATTTAACCCTTTGCACTCGGCACAAATTCATATAAAACAAATTTCATTACAATTCCTTACTTAATTCTAAAATTATACTGTATAATATCACGTTTCCAGGATGTACGTTTTCGTTAAAAAGTGACGTCGAGTTGCTGGTAGGTAACGTCCGAAACGGTGCCGAATACAAAGGGTTAAAAAAAAATCAAAATAAGGAAAAAAACAAAATTTTCACGTTTCATAATATGGAGTAGCTGCGGTTCATTTCTGCTATTTTCAAAATAGAAGTTTTTGTCGCTGTGGCGTGTGCGCGTTATAGCCGCATACTCTGAATAGTTTGCATCATTTCCAAATTCTTTTGCAAATTTATAGACGATATCTTAATTTTCACCAACGCGAGAATGTTTACCATTTCTACTATAAAGTTGGATAGCTCGACGGACGGACAGGCGGACAGGCGGACAGACGGACATGCTTAAATCGATTCGGAATTTGATGATGATCAAGAAAGTGTATCCTTTGCGGTTCGTTTACACCCACTACCGAACGATGAGGGATAAATTCGTTTAATCGAAAGTTTTGCAACACTCGGAAGGAAACTTTTTAGGACTCGACTTATATAGACTCCGGTATATAATATATATTTTTGATTATAATCAAAGTCCGAACAGATTTAATGTTGCATGTCTGTTCGCCTATTCGGCTGCGTAATGTCTGCTATAACATTTCATCTAGCTATAAAAATGAAGCTATCGACTTTCAATTTGGCAGCAGTGTTGGAAGTTCTTGCACGCCGGTTAGTCTTGTTAACGGGCCAGCGCTTACAATAGTGCCTAAACTGAGAACGTCTCTGTTTTCCAAAAGGGAAAAAATGTCTTTTTTTTCCTCATTACTCACACACTACAATACAGGTAGTCAATGTCATTTTCCCCAATTATTCGAAAAGAGAAGCAAAAAAATCAGCCATTCCCACCCAATATTATAGGCTATAACCATCTAGTTTTTTCTTGCGTTTTAGGGTCATTACAAGTGATAATATAAAAAAAAATTTTGCTTACGTTTTGCCCAGCGATCCATTAGCTCTGTCAATTTTACTGCAGAAAATCGATGTGACAGGTGTACCAAATATATTGGATAGTTTGGAAATTTCTTTATTTGGCATTTTGTTCGATAATAAATTGCACGCTTTCCAGACATTTTCATTGTCCCCTCCTCATCAAATTTCCGATGGTTTGCAGCAAAGAAATTTTCTGTATATGAATTGAAAATTTTACCAGATAAATAATTTTGCGGTGAAGGAACGAGATGGTAACCTGATGATGCAATGTCAGGACTGTATGGTGGATGTGGTAATATATTCCCGACAAATTCTAATAATTTTTGGCGGATGAGGACTTGTATTGGGTGCGTGATAAAAACCAATAGATTTTCGGTTAATCAATTCTGGACGTTCTTGCTGCACGGCTTCATTTAATTTGATTTGTTGTTCACAGTACACTTCAGAAACTCCTGCTATACAATTACTTTATGATTTCACCAGACAGACAGACAGACAGTTAAGTGTTTTTTTCGTGGATAACCGGTTAGGCTCATCTTATTTTAACCATGATTAAATGATAAAATATTAATTATTAAAATCAATTTAATTAACTAAATTTAGTAAATATTTATTTCAATTAATTTCTCCTTTAAATAAGAAATTCCTATATATTTATCCTTTAAAAAAAATAATCTTTCTTATTTGAATTAAATAATTTTATTAAATTTTTTATTGTATACATAAATAAAAATTATTAATAAAAAATTCTAAATTAACTTATATTAGTATAATAATTTTCATAGAGCATTAAAAATTACTGATGGTTTTTTTTTTTTTTTAATTTCAAAATTATTAAAATTTTGCAATTTTTGGCAAATTTTTCATTCTGGTGATCGATTTTCTTCTATGCATTTTTGGCAAATTTCGAAAATTCCGAGTTTTTGAAACCTTGAAAGAAAACGAGTCAGTAGCCTTCATTTCATTAATTTTAATCTATATACCAATATAAATATATAAATATATATATATATATATATATATAAATATTTAAATAATCTATATATAATCATGATTTATTGCGTTGCAGATTTTTATATAGGATTCATATTTTATCATCAGTTACAAATATCTTCAAAAATATACGTATGGCAGATATTAATGAGTTATGTTAAATGTACTTCTTTTAAATCAGATGGAATCGAAATATGCAGCTTTGTTTGCAAATCTCGGTCTTTTTATGCGATCGTTAAAAGTTGTGTTGAATGAATTAACTTATTCCACAATCTCACGAACCGTTATGTGTTGATCATAACTTTTACTTGGTCGCCATCAATCATATTTGGCCTATCGGAATGCGGTACAGTTTCCACAAAAAAAAATTTCCAAAACGAAATTTCGCGAACCAATATTGGCAGATGCGTTCTGTTACAACACAAGCTCCATACACAGCACATATTTATCTGTATGCTTTTTGCAGTTCTTTTACCCCTTTTAAAATAAACAAATAAAATATGTCTTATAAGCTGATTTTGATCTTCCATTTTAAAAACTACGTCTCACTATTATAAAGCAGAACCGATCAGTGAAACTTTTTTTTACAAAATAAACACAAGCCTGCTCCAAATAACTATATATACCTTTAATCCTAATTATCTGCCTAGCGACATAAGAAAAATTATTTTAACCAAGTGTCGCAGGAAAGATCGCAAGAAATTTCTAAACAACCTTGAAGTGAATATTAGATGCGCCTGAGATATATTTGTACCAAAATTCATTTCAATGCCTATTACAAAACGTGAATTCTTTTCTTTTTTTTTTATAATTTTTCAGTGTACCTACCATGTAAACCATATATCTTTCGTGCTTTCGATAATATTATTATCATTTGATGTAAATCTAATGTTAATAGTCCACTCATGCAATTCACTTACTATGACCATCAATTTGTGGCTCGTTATTTTCGTTCTATTGCGAAGGAACATGGCCTCCAATATTCGATGAGTTTTCTCATCTTTGCATAAATCTTGATTCAATATGTAACGAACACGTTCGATGGACATGTTCGTAGCCTCTGCTATTTCTTTAATCTTAATTCCGAAATTATTCAGCAATATTTGGTGAACTTAAGCTATGCTGTCTTCAGTCTTAGCCTAGTTATCGGAGTCACCGTAGACAATACTCCACGTGGATTACCTTTCAAAACAAATACTGCATGACATGCTCGTGACTTAATATTTTCATTTCGAAAAAAAAACATCTACATTGACTCACTTAAACTGGTGGCGAACATCAACTGCGCTTCCAAAAAGGGCGGGGACTGCGAATGGGACTTATCAGCGCACACACTTTTGCGCGCAAGTGCTCTCATCTTCTCTCATGTTCAGCTAGTAAATCTCTCAGCTCTTCTACATATGTATGTATATATATATATATATATACATATACATACATATATGTAAAATTTATATAGCGTAGGGCAGAGCTCTGCTGTTAACAGTTTTTCACTAATTAGAACAAAATAATAATAAACTTATAAAGGCTTACAAGTAATAGCGAATATCCCACAAATGAAGATAGGTTTTGTTGCTCTGTTTAAGTTAAAGTGTCACTTTCACTGCAATGATTACCGCTTCACGTTCGCTTAGGGTATCGTTTTGAAAAAAATCATTGTATCAATAACTGTATTAAACGAAGTGCTGACCCATGTTCCACTCTAATGTTTTTATTTGTTTTCTTTACATGGTTTGTCACACTAAACTCTATGTGAAGCTTTTACTTGTTTATGGAATTATAAAAAATATTTGATCAGATTATTAAGTATGCCATGACGTAATGAAAAAACAAAGAAAAAAAAAAAAATAGAGAATCTTTTTATATTTTCATAAACTGTTTCGAAAAATTATTGTTTGGTTACGTTTGTCTTAAAAAAGGGAAGTTTTGGATAGAAATTTGGAAAAAAAAAATTTGGAAAAAATTAATTATCTGCATTGAGAAAATGGCTAGCGCAGTCGTAAAAACTTTGCGTCCGACGGGACGTGTTTTGAGATCAATCGCTCCACTAGGCTTGAATAGGCGTGGTAACGCTTGGTTTGAAGATGTGGAGATGGGGCCTCCCGATCCAATTCTAGGTGTTACCGATGCATTTAAACGCGACAAAAATCCGAGACGTCTTAATCTGGGTGTAGGAGCATACCGTGATGATTGCGGTAATCCTTGGGTGCTTCCTTGCGTACGTTGCGCAGAGGAAATAGTTATAGAGAAGCAATTGAATAAAGAATATGCACCCATCACTGGTCTGCCCGAATTTTGCGCTAAAAGTATTGAATTGGCCTTGGGTAAGGATTCCTACGTCTTAAAAGATAAACGTAACGCCACGGCGCAAAGTATTAGCGGCACTGGATCCTTACGTGTTGGATCGGCGTTCTTAGCAAAATTTTGGAAGGGCAATCGCGAAGTTTACGTACCTACTCCAACATGGGGAAATCATATACCTATTTTCGAGCACGCCGGTCTTCCAGTGAAAAAGTATCGTTATTATGATTCAGATACTTGCGGCTTGGATTACAAAGGTTGTAAAGAGGATATATGCAAAATCCCGCCAGAATCGATCATTGTATTTCATGCTTGCGCTCACAATCCCACTGGTGTAGACCCCAACACAGTGCAGTGGTGTGAGTTAGCTGACTTGGTCAAATACAAATGCCTCTTTCCATTCTTTGATATGGCTTATCAAGGTTTTGCGACTGGTGATGTGGATAGAGACGCTCAAGCAGTTCGAATCTTCGAATCGAAAGGTATTAATTTTGGCTTAGCTCAAAGCTATGCTAAAAATATGGGTCTCTATGGCGAACGCGTCGGAGCACTTACAATAGCATGTGAAAGCGAAGTAGAAGCCTCACGTGTTCTCTCACAACTTAAAATTATTATACGTGCTCTATATTCCAGTCCACCCCTGCACGGAGCCCGAATTGTTACAGAAATTCTTACCGATCCGAATTTGTATGACATGTTCTTAAAAGATCTTAAAACAATGGCTGATCGTACCATCGGTATACGGCAAAAGTTAAAAGACGGCTTAATGCATCACGGCTCGAAACGTAGATGGGATCATATTACTAATCAAATTGGAATGTTCTGTTACACCGGTATGAACCCAGACCAAATTGAACGTATCACAAAAGAATTTAGTGTTTACCTTACGAAAGACGGTCGCATTTCAATGGCTGGTGTTACTAGCAAGAACGTTGAATATTTAGCAAAAGCAATGCATGAAGTTACAAAGTGAACACGTATTTATATAAAAAAAAAAAAAAAAAAAATAGTAATATTTCGTTTTTTGAGAATTTGAAAAAAAAAAAATTGAAAATAAATGGTGACTTACTTATACTAACTAATTGGTAAACTATAGTTTTATTTAAAATAATTCACCGTAACGTGTAGTCAAATAAGTGACGAGCAAGATTTCCATAAGACATAGATTGTAATTGAACTGAATAATTTCACTCTTCAAAAAGTAGTCATATGATAAACAAAAAATGTATTCTTTAGCTATCTAGCTGGTTGACTCGGGGTAGAAATATTATATTTATGTAAATCGCTGCAAAATTATAATTTGAATACGCAAGCGCTTGCGTTTATACATAATATGTAAATAGTGAACACAAATGTATATCAAATACAAAAAGTTGTTACACTCGTTCTCTTGTCGAGTACTAGATGGGTACTCTCGTGAAAACCACACTCATTTTTTGTATGCCACATACAAGACACAGCTCAACGATGTTAAAGTGATATCTCTGTATTCTTTCTAAATCGAACCGAATGATTTCGATGCGCTACAGACGTATTCTTGCCTCGCTTTACCTCTCATTACCTATTTAATAACTGAACACAATCAATCGCTTTACGTAGATTGATTTAACTACATATATATTTTTACCCCAAACAACTACCACTACCGGCTATATTAAGTTTGCGCGGAAGTACCTGACACCCAGAAGAACGTCAGATAGATCCACTTATATAAGTATTGTAACGACCGATTCAAAGGTCATTTTCTTAGGTTAAAATAATGAAACGTCAATCGTAGAACCAACGCGATCTACTTAACATGCAAAATGTGACCGTAACAAGCCCCAGTTAAGCTTAATCTAAATAATTATGAAGAGGATTGGATGTAATTCAAAATGAAAAAGGATAAAAATGTGATAGTGTGACGAGACCGATCCTGTAAATTTTCTAATAATACATTTTTTTTTTTTTTTTTGTCTTCTTTATAAAATATTAAAAATTAAACGCGTCCAATTAGGACCAACCGTTAGACAATGTTGTCATATGAAAGTCAATTTTTTGTAAGAACATTTAGAAGGGAAAGACTGCAAATATGTGTCCGTCCGATCCAAATTTACGCCATTCAATTAATAATGGCATAGTAATTATATTTCGTCAAGTTTTATCGCAATGTACTCTAAACAGAAAAACATTTTGCATATAACGAACGACTTTCTCTGGACCGTGTACGAGTTCTGAGATTCCGTCCATTATCGATGGCAGAGTTTCTTAAAAACATCTCGCAACCAGACGATTAAATGCAAAAAATTCATGGGCAGATATTGGACGGGTGGGAGAGCCAGACATGCAGAATACTTTTTTGAGTAGATTGATATAATTAAAATCCTATCTCAAGTACTTCTGACTGCTATACGTTTCTTAATGAACTTCATATATTTATAGGTTAAGCAGTCTAGAGGATAATATATACCAGCATAATGTTACACCAGAGACATAAAAAAAAAAAAAAAAAAAAAAAAATTCAAAAGTCCGAATAAGAAGTAGAGTAAGAAAAAAGGCGGTTGAAGATGCTTCTTTTTTTTTTTTTTTTTGCTGAGAGCTTTTAGAAACGAACACACGATTTCTCGTACGAGAAACTTTCATCATAGTGTGCGAGAGAGTAATTACAATCGGTATTAGATCAAATCATTCTAAAATTCATTAGTCTTTTCTGTTATCCTCTCTGAAGACATAAGTCAAAGTCTAAGGATAGTTCAATTTTTGCGCCACAAAAACCACACCTGAAGAAGAATGTAATCAATATATCAATAACATAAGCAGCGTACCTATAATATAAGAATATCTCTCTTTATTCAATATTTTTAAGATTATCATAAAGAAAATTAAATTAATCGATGTTTAGCATGGAAATGATATCTCATTGTAAATTCGGAATTTCGGAGACGATTTGACTGATTGCTTAATTTCTTTTATTTCAACTCAAGATTTTTTCCGTCGTTTTATGTAAATAAAGTAAAGTGATTTTATTTTATTTGTTACGATGATGACAAACGATTGCGATTGCGATTGCGATTGCGATTACGGTTGCGGTTTATTATTACTTTCTTTATTTTCTTTTACAAGTTTTTTCTAATTTAAAAAAATATAGTTAATGTTTATTATGGATTTGTTTGTTTGCTCTTACAGGCAGCTGAGGCTGGCAATTTGGATGACTTTAAACGTCTTTATCAAGCCGATAATACACGGCTATCCCTGCAAGATGGCAAAGGTAGAACTGCAGCCCATCAAGCAGCTGCCCGTAATCAAGTCGATATATTACGCTATATACATGATCAAAAAGGAGGTAAGTAACAATTGCTATTTTCATGTTTAAGCCACTACTAGTTACTATTACTATTATAAATGCACTACAAACGGCATCTTAACTGCGCAACTGCTTCTAGGTAATTAATTTTGTTTCCATCTTAATTCAATAGTTGCTAAGACACATGCAGCGCGCGAACTATTTGCAATTGTATACACTTTGCACGTCATGTGCAAATCGACAAAACAACAAATGTTATATGCATATAGTATATATATGAGAAAAAAAATGTACACAACTTAGATTGAACGTATTTTCTACTCATCCTATGTAGTTTCGGTAAATTTTTCAATAAATACATGTCGAAAAATTCTTAAAACACAATTCACATAAGAGATACGCATCACTTACGTAGAATATTTCGTCAGTGTACATAACTGGCAGAAATGTAATATAACCGGCACATGCCAGCATGCAACGACACGCAACAACAATAACAACAAATATTCTTAGTCTCTCATCTAAGAAAGTTATATACAACTTGCGTCAAATCTATATCGCCTATATCTATATCTATATTACGTCGAGCAAATATATGAAAATTAGAATTGTGTGGACCATATCACCTGGACTTTTTAACCGAAATTTAGGTCTTAATAAAAGCGGTCATGGTTTTTGTTTTACCTCCACGTTGTTTTTCAGTGCACAGTTAGATAGTAATACGCCAAGTCAATAACGAAAATGTTGCCTTAAGACGATCAGAATTTTCAAATAATTTTAAAATAATAAAATATTGTGGAACGTAGAATCCGAAATTATTATCAATACAACATGGATTTTATATACACATGTGTATGTATAAAATTATCTGCAGAGTATATGCGTACAAAACTCTTTCGGTTGATTTTTACGCTTACGAGCCGACCCGTCAACTTCCGAAAACCTATATACAAAATCAAGTTGATACACTGTAGTCGGCCATGTGCCACGGTTCAAAATATTATAGATTACCTCGTTTAATGCAGTTATGCATCTAATGGCTTTCCAAAATAATGCGTTATATGGAAAGTGGATCAGAGAAGTAGTTCGATTGAAGCCAGTTCGTCTCGGAACCGAAACACACCAGTGTATCAAATTTCATCAAATAATTTGAAAAATTATTCGGATTGAACAAAACTAGTACTAGATGGACAGACGGACAGATAAGCTTAGAATCACTTTTTGAATCGATCGGTATAATAAGAGATGGGTCTATCTCAAGTCCTTCTGCGTATCATGTGCATTCGTTCACACTTGCGTCGTAGATGGTGCAGAATATAAAAATTGATACGATACGATCTATATAAATATATATATATATTATATATTTTTGTTGCTTAAGCAATAGTGTGGAAGTTTAGTTTTTTCGATCAAAAGGCGATCTCTTCAAAGCATGCATTGCATCAAAAGTCTTGAACGTACGTTGAAGAGAGTCCTGTTGAAGAGTTTTTATAGCTTCTGCAACTAAGTGTCCTAAACAAGAACAAATACCAGATCGCAGCTATGCATCGAATAGTGGTTCAAGAAAATAGTATACGATATAGACAAACAATACTTACTTTTGGGTAAATGAATTAGTTTTCCCGGTGACGAGAATAGAAAGAAATTGGTTATAATTCGACGGTGATATGAGTCCTGTAAATGAATATGACTCCTGTAATGGATATAAAAAGATATCTTTCAACTTGCTTCTTCTTTTTTTTATATTTTTTTTTTTTTTTTTTTTTTATTATTTAATATAATTAATTTATTTCACTTTATTTTGATTTATTTGTAGATTTTAATATTCGAGATAATGCAGGTAATACACCCATACATGTTGCCGTTGAATGCGATTCTTATGAAGCCCTGGATTATTTATTGTCAATGTAAGTGCAAAATGAGTCAACTATATGACGAGTTAGTATATGTGTATGCCTATGTGTGTAAAGAATGAAACCACAATGACGGACTAACATTGCTGGCGTTGGTGCGATGGTCATATTTCAATACTAACTTGAGGAAGGCAACTCGGATTTATTTCTCTTTTCTTTTTTTTTTCTTTTTTTTTGTACGCCATATTCTTAGCGTACGGACACATAGGGCATGCGACAGTACGTTACAATGCACTTATATCTACATAACACTTATTTTTCATTTTTTGCCTGTTCACCATTTCTCCCAATTAGAGTAGATATTGCAAGAGAGATGTAGAGATTCTGTGAAACATTTATTTTTGCTTGGAAACATTTTTCTATTGCTCCACTATAAAATGAAAGTATGCCAAATAACATTGTTGCGTTTGTAATAACCGGAATTATATTTTGTAAAAAGTATATCCCTGGTGGTGGTGTTAGAAATTTTTGAGTTTGATTTGAAAATTGACTTTGCTTTGTGCTGCTAACTTATCGGTCTAAACATTCACGTCATCCGAATAAGAACGTTCTCTATTAAACTTGTGTTGTTTTGGCTTATCACGGTCTGTCTATTTGATCCGTCATTTTATTTTTATTATTATCGATATTGTAAATGGATTGCGATTTACTTACAAAAGAGACAAACATTGAAAAATCGCACTTGAAATACAAGCGAAATGAGCAGGAAATGTTAAAATTTATGCTGAAAGTAGAAACGACTCTCATTGATGCGCCTGAGGCGCTTGAGGCGCCTATAAATGATTAAAAATTCCGAAGGATTTTCTTTAAGCGACAGGACAAGAGATTTAACACAACGCGAACAGAACTTTACGGTTTTTTTTGTTTTTCTTTTTTTTACTCGTTTTTGAATTACTTAACGCTTCACAAACTTTCAGATAATAACGATCTCTCTCTATTTCTTTCTTTTTCTCTTCTCTCTCTCTCTCTCTCTCTCTCTCTGTCGCTCTCTAATCTGCATGTCTTTATTTGCAGACCTGTGGACACCAGCATACTCAACGAAAAGAAACAAGCTCCCGTACATTTGGCCACCGAGCTGAATAAAGTCAAGTGTTTGCGTATTATGGGAAAATATCGTAATATCATAGATATACAGCAGGGCGGTGAACATGGGCGTACCGCTTTGCATTTAGCCGCAATATACGATCATGAGGAGTGCGCTCGCATTTTGGTACGCGGAAATATCTAAGAATTTTGTAATTTTTTTTTTTTTTCCTTTTTGTATCTTATTTCATTTATTACTTCATTCATTTCATTTCATTTCATTTCATTTCATTTATTTATTTATGTATTTATTTTCATTCTTCTATTCTGTGTGTGCATTTTAAAAAGAGATTAAAAAAAAAAGTCACATGTGTTTCCAAGTAACATTTAATCAGTTTTCTTATTAAAAATATATGTTAGTTGAGTCAGTCGAGTTCTTCTTCTTATTTTATTCAATTATGTTGATTTTCTGTTTTTTTTTTTTTTTTGTTCTTATAACGAGCATGCTTAGATAATGCGTTCATGTCTTAGCTTTAGAAAAAAACAAAAATAAATAAATAAAAAATAAAAAAGAACCTATTCTTCCATATAAACGTATGTACATAAATATCTTTTTTCTTAAAATTTCTGTTGTATCTTTTTCAGCATAAAACAACCAAAATTGATTACGTAAAAATCGAATCTAATTGTGTGTGTGTTTAAATATTTATTTATCTTCTTCTTTTTTATTTTTTTTTTATTTTTTTGATTTTCCTTTCTTATTCTACCTCCACCACTGAAGCATTGCATGGTATAATCGTTTTGCCTTTTTTTGCATAATGTATGTAATACCCATAAAGTATGTTTCAGCGACTCCTTTCTCGATCAGCATCTGAAATTCTGATTAGATTAAGCCATGTCGGTCCGTCTGTATGGCGTGTGTGGGTGTGTGTATGTGTGTCGTGTTTAAATTTGATAGAAACATTGCAAGTTTGGAAGCAGTGCAGCTTGGCATTGAAAAATTGAGCCAAATTGGTTAGAGCAGAGAAGCACGCAGTGTAAATATTAAAAAAAAAAAAAAGTCAGCCTTGTCCACACAACAACTTAGAAGTGATTAAATTTAATTTTTTTTTTTTTTTTCACTTTTTTGATATTTTATGCTTATTTAACACAATGCAAGCAAGCGGCAATGCGTAAAACTATTTTACACATTGCTCAAACACGCCGTTAAATTATCGGCCTAAAAATGGGTTAATTCTCTAAATGAACATGGCGATCTGGTGATATTCAATTCTTTCTTAATAATACGAGCGATAAGGGTATGAAATAAAAGTTATTTAGAGAATAGAATGCGAAAAGTATAGTGGTGTGGGTATGCGAGATCCCGTCCCTGTCGAATATAATTTTCTTACTTGTTTTTTCGAATTTTTATTATCATTTTATCAAGTTTCCATTCTTTTATTTATTTAAAAAGCAAAGCAATTTTCTTTGAAAATATTGCCAGCCAGAAAGGTAAGAAAATTCTGGTGTAAATTGGTATAAAATTTTGTACATAATTTTTTAACGCAATACATGCGACACGCAGATAATAAAAACTTAAAAAAAAAAAAAAACATATGATTTTACTTTATTCGTACTTTATCTCATTCGAATAATTGCCGGACTTTTAATCAAACTACATTTAATTATATGTAACCGTATGATTAAGTTCAAAATTTCCATCGTTTTTTATATGAAGTGAAAAACACCCAAAACCAATGTCCACAATTTAGCAAATGCGAGCTCTTTCGATAACATAATCAACTTTCATGCATTTCTTCTCATAGCTCAATATATAATCATTAGCAACATTTCATTATGAAAATTGCTCAGTTGTTTTCTGGTTTGCTTCTCTAGATTTGCTTCCTTTCGATATCTTTACCGCAATCATTATACTTTTGATTTAGTTCTTCTTCAGTACAATCAAATGCTAAAGCATTCATATCATTGGAATTTTGATGGACGACATGTTCATCGAAACTAAAGGCATTTTAATCATCATACTCCAGTATAGCTCTTAATGAGTTTTTTTACTGATCTAAGCTTATATGCAGCGAAGTCTCAGAGAGTCTGATCTTTCCTTTAGGTGCGTTCACCATAGTTCACCAAACCAACCAAGTCAACTTTAATTAAAACTGCGTCTACATCTTTCGAAGAGGATGGAAGCGGCGAAAAAATTTGTTAAACTCTTTAGAGGAAATGCAATGCAATGAGAAATTATTTTTATTCAAGAGGCCTGCATTCGCATTGTAAAGTTCACGGATGCGAAGGTTTAATAAAAATTTTTGCACAAAATTTTAGTAAAACATTTGTTAGTATTTAGTTATTTGAGTCTCATTGCTTATCAAAATGAATGCAAACATGAAATAGGGAGTATTGCTTGCTTACCTCACTCACACAAACTCAGTTTGGTATGTTAACTTTTATTATTGTAGCTTAAAATATAAGCAGAAACTTAATACATTTCAGCCTAAGAAAATCACAAAACGTATATTAAATCATCATAATTGAAAGATTATTAGACAAATAAACGGAATAAATTTTACACTTTGTTTAGCTGATTCTTAGATATAAGTTAATGTAAGTGAGGACGCGAACGAATTTAGGCTCTATCTACTTAACCATTGTAGATAAATAAAAAAAAAAAAAACTTTAAAGCCCATAAAAGCGTTTTTAAAGTTCAGTTTAACAAATGGAGTCAACTAAATGAATTGCCTTCATAGGTTGTACATTTGCAACCTTGATCTACTCCTTTCCGTTTTATAGAGTAACATATTGTTGAAATACTTTATCATCAATACCAACTGACCGATCCGATATATATCAATGTACGCACATTCTCTATACATAATAGTCCATTCGAAACCTTATCATGCGGACACAAAAAAGATTGAATTGTAATTTTTAAAAATCGAGCGCCTTATGAACACATTTTGCAAATTTTTGTTTTTAAACTTACATAATAGTTAAACCGGAACTTGACCTAGTTAATGTTTTCAATACGTCAACATGACTTTAAGAGTCAGAGCATTTGAATTAATAAACTAACGGACAGATAAATAGACTTGATATGCTGATTAGATTTATGGATTATCTGTGCTGCCTAATACACTGCCCACACACTACAAATGCTCTATTAATCTAATCTCGATTTTCTTATACATCGTCTGCGGAAATTTTTTCCCACACATTTTTCAACAATTTTAAATCATTCTTAGTAATCCCAAATATCGTCTGCATGTGTTTTAGATGGATATATGTATGCATGTAACTGCATATAGACGTGTGTTGGTAGCGAAACTAAAATTCATGTTATTTGATTTCTTTATTGATTTATTTATAGTTTTTCTTTAATAATTTACAAAATTTTATTTTTGTTTTTCATAAAACAAACAGTGTTGTGAATAGAGTGTATATATTATATAGAGTATGTTGTGTGGAAATTATTTAAAAATTTTTTAAAGAAAAATAAATGAATAAAATGAAAACTTCATACCAACAAACACATACAACTACGAGTATAAATTGTATGCTAAATAATAATAATAATAAAAATATGTATGCATGTATATATATATATATATATATATATATATATATATATATACGTATAAGTTCTCATATATATATTTGCAGATAACAGAATTTGATGCATGCCCTCGAAAACCGTGCAACAATGGTTATTATCCTATACATGAAGCGGCTAAAAATGCCAGCTCAAAAACAATGGAAGTATTCTTTCAGGCAAGTACAGCAAAAGCGAAACAAATTAATTTTTAAAGAGAAAAAGAAAAACAAAATTAATGAAAGCAAAATGCATAAGCAATTCTCCTAAGTCGTTGAATTGCATGTTTTGAGTTAACACAAAACAAAAAGTGATATAAATTAAATCTAACGGTTAATATTAAAAACTGATAAACTTTTAGTTGAAGGGGAGAGAGAGCGTATGTGTTTGTGTGAGAATATTTTAAACAAGAATAACTAATTTTATGTTCTATGTATGTATGTATGTATGTATGTACGCATGTATGTATATATGTATGTATGTATGTATGTATGAATGTATGTTTTCATATTTACTGCCAAATACTGTCCTAAAATTTGTCTAAAATATCCTTTAAGAGCTAAAAGTTCCTTTACAGTTTGTTCATAATCGGTGTTATTATTAATTCCGTCTTCAGGCTATATAAGTATAAGTATGCAGGTGTGTACGCTGTACGTGTATATTTGAGTTTATTTACAAATATTGGCAATCGTTTCGTCGGGTGTCGTTTACTCGCTTATTTCATCGGAGAGTTTAAAAATTCATCAACAAAACCACAAAAGAATATGAAAACAAAAAAAAAAAAATTATTTTTTTAAGCTCTAAATGAAAACTTTCAATTATGTATTCATAAATTGAGGCGGTAAATAATCATAAAAAATTGAAAGAAAATAAAAAAAAAAATTATAATAATAATAATAAACAAAAAAAAAGTGTTCACATATTAAATAAGAGCTTTCCGTAACATGCCCTACTTCCTTCCTTTCGTCCTTCCTTTTTTTCTTTCCTTTCCTTCGTCGTTTTACTTGCTCTGAATATTTTTGAACAACATCGCAAATCCGTAATGAAAACTCAAGTTTGCCTAAGACTTTAATGTTATTTTCTTATTTCTCGATTTCTTTACTTCTTACGTTTTAAAAGGCGTACATCCGACGTGATAATTATTCATTGTTGATGGATTTTTTCACAACTTAAATTACAATCTTTGTTGGGCTGATATTATTAACCTTGAATGAATGTGCTTGCAATCGTGATATCAACTGATGCTTCAAAGTCACTTAGCTCACCATATTAAATCAAAACATCAAGTGGATGGGGACACTCCATAGAAAATTAATAACGAAACAAAAAAAAAAAAAAAACTGAACAAGTGAAAGCACTTTAGTGGTGCGCGCGGCCCATCATTTAGGGCCCAACTCCAATTTGTTTAACACAATTTTTTCATATATCGACTTTTCGAAACAAAGCAATGAACCGAAAAGTGGTCGCCCGATCCGAAACATTTGCCATGTAATAATTTCCATTCATCCATGAGTCAAAACACGCGATGTACTAAATTTCATCAAAATATCTCAGAAATTGCGACCTGTAGATTGATAGGCAGACCGATGAATAGATGAATGGACAATCTTAGGTATAATAAAAGTTGGGTCAAAGGTATAGGGTATAAAAACATTGATCGCATTGCACGAGTGTGCTTTGACCGGTTCGGTTTACGAATTGCGTATTGCAAAATCTTTACCACAAATACTACATAGTTGCGCAAACGGACAGACGGACGAATGGAGATGCTCAAGCGCATTCCAAATTTCACATTAGTCAAAAATGTATATATTTTCTTCTCTATTGCTCTGGTTATTATAAAAGTTTTGATAAACCAATGAAAATTTGATACTTGATAATATTGGGTAGCCGTAGGCTTTTGTAGCATCGCCTCCGCCCGTATAATGTGCGTTTAAATTTTTATAGGTTTATCTCTCAATTCACTTCCCTTTGGAGAGCCGAGATATTCTCGGTTTACATGTTACGTGGATTTAGTCTATTTGCAAACTGCAACAACCTGCTCGCAAGCATTTCCAATATTTCTATCAAATTTGAAGCCGATAGCTTCATTTGTGGGATAGTATTACACCCTTATCAACGAAAATCAAATAAAGACATTTTAGCATAAATTTTTTTCACCGCCTAAGTGAACGATTGACGGGAAAGGATGGCCAATAAACGTCTGTCTCTCTTCGGCAATGTTCAATATTATGAGAGCTTCAGATAGATTCATATTTTATATATTTACAGGATTGCAAAGCAACATTTTAAGCTTACTTAAGTCCAAGAATTTTAATTTAGATGCGAAAATATACTAAAGCAAAATTACGTCAGGACTCGCAAGCTAATGTTATAATGAATGGACAATAATATCCACTGAGTCAGAATTAAGAACAAAATGACAACGAAAAAAGAAAAATAAATGATAAACGAATAATAAATAAACCAAAAATTTGCTCAAAAAGGCCAAAGGAATAAAAATAATTGCAAACATATATACAATGTGTTGATGTCGAGTCGAGATCATAGAAAAAAGAAACATAAATCCAATGATGGTTATATAGGAATATGTAAAAATTGCTTGCATATAAATGAAATCATTTTCAATCTACGTGTACAGCTCTATTGTAACGCCTTAAAGAATGTTACATAAAATTTTAAAAACTCAGTGAAGCATAAAGGGAAACATTATTGTTTGTTCCTTATGCACAACATTGTCACTGTGAATAACAGCGAAGAGTAAATTAAACATTCTGCATGTGCTTCCAAGCATAACAAATACAAAGAGGGAAACGAAAATAATGTTTTAACAGATTTCGATGTTAAAGATATTACATAGACGTTAAATCTTGTTGTTGTTGTTGTTGTTGTTGTTGTTGTTGAATGTTGACAATGCCCGTCTATGTTGAAATTGTTATCAAAAGTTTTGTTTTGTATTCAAAAGTTTTTCTTAATGTTTACCGAAATGTTATGTCAAACCTATCTGCTGTCCATTCATTTAGCGGGTAGGTTTACTTCAAACCAATCCAAACAAAAAAAAAAAAAAGAAAGAAAAATTATATTTAATAACCGAAGTAACATAGATTACGTTCTATTGAACTTACGGTTTTACTTTTAGTGGGGAGAACAACGCAATTGTACGCGGGAAGAGATGATATCGTTCTACGATTCGGAGGGTAACGTTCCCCTACATTCAGCTGTACATGGTGGCGATATTAAGGCAGTTGAGTTATGCCTAAAGTCGGGGGCAAAAATTTCAACACAACAACATGATCTTTCAACACCAGTACATTTAGCATGTGCCCAGGTAAGATATATATGTTTAAAAGCGTTCAAAAAGTTCAAACAAAGTTATACGCAAAACTTCAATCCGGAAACTAACCTAACTCCAGAATGTGCGTTAAATTATTTTAATTGTAAATGTATATTTTTTTAGAAAAACTACTCTTAAATCTTAAATACTTACCTAATCTATATATGCAGTTTCCTATACTGTATTTTGCTACATATTATAATCAAAAATTACATTAATTCTTCGCCTTTTGCGTTCATACTCAAGCAAATTATTAATCACTTTTATCAAAATGTCTCTAAAAAGCGGGCAGACGTGGAAAAAAAACTTAGATCGATTCGGAAAGATGGATCAATTTCAAGCCCTTCTGGACGTTACATATGCAATATACAAACTTATCAAACTTGAGGCAGGATATAAATACACTATGGAAAACGTTTAACGTTCATGACGAACAGAGATATTTCACATTAGGCAGTCTGTCCGATACTTTTATAAAACGTAAAATGTAAATGAACGGAAACACCATAACGCAATAAGAAAACTCTAAATACGAAATTTATGAAATATACCGGTACGAGTACCCGGTACGAATACCCCGTGAGGCTGATTATTATGAAAGTAAACATAAGTTAAATGTTAGGAAAATGTTAGGAAGGAGTGATTTAGTCCGAATGATGAATGCAGCGGACATAGGTGTGCCACCATTGGACTCTGCGTTTAGCGTTTTATTGTACAAAAATCTGAAATTCTCTGGCCTGATAGCATAACTATATAAAATATACTGATCAGAGAATTCCACAACAATATAAATTTTAAGTATAACTGTTTAATGTACGAAGCTTGTGTGTGTGTGTGTGTGTGTGTGTCCACTTATTTGTTAATAGTAATTAAATTATGATTGCGTTTTGTGCTGCAGTATCTTTAAGTTAAGCAAATTATGATGCGTACGCTTGCTATGTGCTGGGCTGGGTCAATCCGATAAAATAAATAAACAATCTTTCCTGCCTAAAACCTAATTGGCGTTGTGCAAAAATGCATTGAAAATATATTAAATAAACATAAATTTGAAGAAAATTTGTTTCAAAGCCTACAACATCGCCTTAACGAAATTTGTTAAGGTTCGTCGAACAAAATTTGAAGTAAACAACGGAACGAAAACCAACTTAAAAGTTTTTGTATGTCACCTTTGGGATTTTTCATTGCATACACAAATACATGTATATCGTAGCGTATGTTTATTTCGAAACATAGATATGTGCATATATGCTCTGAGTATATTTGCCCCCTATAAATGATGAATGACGAATAAGCAAGCAGTCAAATATAGGAAATAAAGCTACTTCTGTCATATCTGAGACGTCAAAAAGTCCGCAATGCGTAAACTCACTCCCTCCTTATCCCATTAATTCATTAGTTATTTTTGATATTACTGCTCTTGACACTGCTCGCTTAATTTCCATTGACATAAACAAAGACGACAACCAATTCTTTGTGTTTTTCAAAAGATTATAAAAACATATACATATACAATCTACACAATACTGCCACAATTTTAAAGACGATAATAAAAAAAAAATAATAATAATCAAAAACGAATAAACGAAGGAAGTTAGATATTGAATTTTAGATAGTTGAAGAGAGCGGATAGCAGCGAAGCTGAAACAACGGGGATCGGGAGCAAGAAACGGATCGATAGACAAACCTGCGGCGGTAAAGGGGAAGTGACTCCGCTCTTTTCTATTCGATATTTGTGCTTCTACCAATTTGTTGTGCACCACTCCTTTGCCGCATGGAGGCATGGTATAAACCAGAATTGTTCTTACTGCAATTCTTAAGGTCCGCTGTAAGCATAACATGTAATGTAAGTGTAATATGAATAATATTAAAAAAAAAAGAAAAAAATGTTTTTCTACGTATTTAAACATGCATACAATCACAGTACACGGTGCATGCATGTATTCTGTTGATTTGCTTATTCCTCCACCAGTTTCGTTCACAAGAATATTTTCATTTGAAGGAAGCTAGAGGCTAATCGAAGAACTTATGCACTCTACGTTTTTTAATACATATGATTACGTGTGTACGAGAGGTGAATGATGACGATACTGACGGGATGGCCTTTAAAATACAATGAATTAAGAATCACATCCAATCACCGTGAATTTACCGAAGCAAAGCATTAATATGGGCTGAATTTGAACGATAAATTCGCTCGTCAACCTTTTACTCGATTCGGGGTTTCGATACACTGAATTTTAAAAGGCCACATCTTATTAGCATTGAAATTCTCAAGGCAAGAACACAGTGCGCGGCAAAGAGTTGCTGAATAAAACAATGCTGACCTTCTTGTTCCTTCAATGGCCATTCAGTTCGTGTTGTTTAAATTATCCCAGATTTATATCCATTTCGAAAGCCATGTTTGCAATTTGCGAAACTCAATCTCCCCCTATGTTTTCGCCTCTGCGACTAGCCTGATGTTCGCATGAACAACTTATTGTACTAAACGGAAATTAGTAATCAGTCATCTTCTTGGCCAACTCGGTATACGAGTTGACGATAATTGAAATATGAGGCAAGCTCAACTCAAAATATCGTTGTCTTGGGAAGATGGATGATTAACTTCATGATTCAATTTATCTGAACCATAACGATGATGGAGGCATTATTAATTTTTTTTTTAATACGAAATAATTACTGAAGCTGTATATAGGATCATTCCTTGATTTTGTAATTCCGAAAGCGAAAATAGATTTGGATCAACTTTCAATATGTGGCATATGTGGAATGAAGCTCATATTTGGTTAAATGACTTCGCAAATAAGGAGCGTAACCTCTGTAGTGAAGAGAAAACATAGCTGCAGTCAACTGTTGGCTGTTGTTTGGCCCTGAACATAGATAAGGCATTGCACTTACCCCCAAAGGAGAACACTGTCGAAATATGGCACGACGTAAATCGTAAATGATTTCAGCATCGAGGCTGGATGGCTTCGCCCAAGCGATGCGACACATCATACATCCCATTTCAACGATCATGTAATCTACAAGAATACGTATATAGCCTATTCACAAAGATTATGCGATATAACTTGAATGGACTTTTCACTTTGGAGTTATGAAGGAGCATTGGCTCATTTCAATAAACAACGACTTCTCATTGTCCTTACTCATCAAGTCTATTTACCTTATTAGTGAAACAAATACGAACGTTATATTCGGACAAGGTCGATCATTAAGTGCGTTGTATTATATCACTTAATGCAAAGATTACGCATTATTTCCATGTAAAGGCATAAATTTCATGAACGCCTGCATACGGAGAGTGCCCAAAAAAATCAAATGGCGTGACCCAACTTAATTTATTTCCTAAAAATTTAATTACTTTTCAGTTTCCGATGTAAACAGTTATGAGTTAGACTTTCTCTCTATGCAAGGAGTTGCTTTGATGATAACCCCTACATTTCTTGGGGCCTATAAAATAGATCTACGTAATCCCAAATCCCTACTCTTAATTTTCCTTTTCCTGCAAAAGTCTACTATTCATGCGAAATCTCATATGGAGTGGGGTGCAATAAAATGGAGCCACGTGATTCGAATGTGGTTCATTTAATTTGTATGCCAAATTACTATCATGAACAAATCTGCATCATAAAACGTTAACAATAACATCTTTTTCGCACGTGAGTGTTTACCTTAGCTGAGAATGCTTATATGCGATGATACCCAAAAGACAGATCTACCTTGGCCCGATAGGGTTGATTTCCTTGTTCATTTACTATTATGAACCAATTTTCACTATGAAATATTAACGAATTTTACTATATGAAGATTCAATTTTCGTCAGAACGATTATATGAAAGAGTTATGAAAAAATTGGCCCAGGCGAACTAAATTTTTGTCACGCTAATTTGCAATGTCCAAACACTATTGCAGAGCGAGTTTTTGTCGAAAAATTTGCGAACAATTGACAAACAAAGCAAGCACTTGAAGTGCTCTAAATAAGTCTCAATAGGGTTATAAATTGACTTAACCACGCCCACCTTTCTATCGTTCTCTGTTCTTCGTTTTTACTTGCAATTCCTTCGGTTATCAAAATTAAAATGGAAGTTGAAACTGAGCGCATATTTCCCATACTAGATAAGATATTAGGTAAGACTAGGTAAGATATTGAATTTTTCAACGGAAGGGCCACACAAAAACTGTGGAATAGTAAAAAATGCCTGTTATGTTATCCCGGATCTACGAATTAACCAATTGATCAATCCGATTGGGCTATCCTCCGATTTGGGTTCTCGATAATGAGTAAACTTCTCGACAGAAATGCATAGTTTATTAAGAGTCCTAAACTCTCTGTTCGCTAGAGCGAGTCCATAATCAGACGCTATCAATTCAAAAATGAATTACATGATACTTGATAACAATGAATGTTGAATTAGATCTCAACTATATCCGACGTAAGGCACATATCAAACACTAGTTTAACGGTTGGTGATTTTGCCAGAGTTTCTATTACATGGAAAAGTCCTAAGACGCTGACGAATATTTGCACAGAGTTTTAAAACTCAATTTTCTAAAATATATCGCATATAAAAACGATCGTAGCCGCTTTCATATTTCGTTTGTACACTCGAGCTCAGAGTACGTTCGCCAAGTTACAGTTGTTTTGTCTCAACTCTTGCCACTGTCAGAATATTAGATTTTAACTTCAAATCCTATCTTAATAGGAATAAAGAATGCCTATCGTTTACTTTCAAATGCTACGAAAAGAATAATCAATCGTAAGCAATATACTCTGAAGGTCTTATAAAAGCGGTCTCTTTTTTGCCTGAAAAATCAAACGATATTCATGATAGTTTTTGGCATGTGGTACAAGATGTGTAATAAAAATGATTTGAAGGCAAAACGTCGCAAATGCTGATGGAATGGATTACTAGAACCCTTAAAAATACCCATCATTCGGTTTACTACTATTTTAGCTGCTTACAAATGGGTATACACATACCTTAATGCCCAAGGTTAGGTGAGCTGTCCCTCTCAATGAACAGTGGCAATGTACTTTTATTAAGAAGTAGAAGTAGTACTCAGTTTCACGATTAAAATCCTTCCAGTGTACCAAAGTTGCGCAAACTTCACTTACGCAAGCAAAGTCTGAATTATTTGTCAGTTTGTTCGTTAATCTCGAAAGATTGATGTAATCACTAATTTAATAAATATTCTTAAAAGTATTCAATGGATTTTTTCTTCTTCTTTAAAATTGCAAAAAAAAAAAAAAAAATTTAAAAAAACTACCAAAATAAAATATTTTTATTTAAAATCTTTTTGAAAAGTTCAATATATTTACATTATTATTTCGAAAAAATTTATAGAAAATTTTTTAAAATTTACTATATATACAAAATTTGTTAATTTTATCATACATCTCAGCCAAGAATAAAATTGTAGCAATTATCTCAATCCCACCTTGCGTTACACTCGGGAACATTTGGCATTTTATGCAGTCGTCTCTTGAAAAAAAAAATATGAAAAATTCTTAACTTTGGTTGTTTGTTGCTTATAAGCATATTATCGATGCAATTAGAGTGTTTCCGAATTGAAAGGACTAAGCATTGTCTATTCTTACAATATCTATACGCAAATATATTGGGGAGAAATGAATGCAGATGGTTACACCTAAGCTGATATATAATATTCAGAGTTGTATTTCAGCTAATTAACTCATTGAAATGTTTAGTTAGATAGATGAAAAAATTGATATCAAAAAATATTATATACATAAGTTAATTTTCCATTTCAGGGAGCGATCGAGATAGTTAAATTAATGTTTACTATGCAACCAATGGAGAAAAGAATTTGTTTAAGTCGCACGGATGTGCAAAAAATGACTCCATTGCATTGTGCGTCCATGTTCGATCATCCGGATATCGTTGAGTATTTGGTGCAGGAAGGTGCCGACGTTAATGCGCTAGATAAAGAGCATAGGTCGCCGTTACTTTTGGCTGCATCACGTTCCGGCTGGAAGACGGTACATTTGCTAATACGATTAGGGGCTAATATTGGTATCAAAGATGCCAGTTCTCGTAATGTCCTGCATTTGGTTATAATGAACGGTGGACGTTTGCAGGAGTTTGCCGAAGAAGTTTGCAAAACGCAGACGCAAGCCCAATTAGAGTTGTTGCTCAATGAAAAAGATAATACAGGCTGTTCCGCCCTGCATTACGCCAGTCGCGATGGTCATATACGATCTTTGGAAAATCTCATAAGACTGGGTGCTTGCATAAATCTTAAGAATAACAATAATGAGAGTCCTTTACATTTTGCTGCACGTTACGGACGCTATAACACTGTTAAACAGTTATTAGATTCGGAAAAAGGCTCATTCATAATTAACGAAAGTGATGGTGAAGGATTAACTCCTTTGCATATTGCCTCGCAGCAGGGACACACAAGAGTTGTGCAATTATTACTGAATCGTGGAGCTTTATTGCATCGTGATCATAACGGAAGGAATCCTTTACAATTGGCTGCGATGTCCGGCTACAACGAAACGATCGAGTTATTGCATTCAGTGCATTCGCATCTTTTAGACCAAATAGACAAGGATGGTGTAAGCGTATAATGATGTTATCTTTATTTCTTTGCTTAATTTCAATATTGTAACTTGTAGAATACCGCCCTTCACTTGGCTACCATGGAAAATAAACCTCATGCCATTTCTGTTTTACTATCGATGGACTGCAAATTACTATACAATCGGATGGATATGAGCGCGATCGATTACGCTATTTATTATAAATACCCAGAAGCAGCTTTAGCTATGGTTACGCATGAAGAGCGTGCCAACGAGGTGATGGCATTAAAATCAGATAAGCATCCTTGCGTTACTTTAGCTCTAATAGCATCGATGCCAAAAGTTTTTGAAGCCGTTCAGGATAAATGCATAACGAAAGCGAATTGTAAGAAAGACTCGAAGAGCTTTTACGTAAGTGGCTGTGGATAAAATAAACAAACGTCTATGCAAGATAAGCTTCCTTTTCTGCGTTATGTAAACAAGTAAAAAAATTATAGGTCGGTTATAGGTCGACCGCTAAATACCCTAAATTACCTCATCCAATATCATTCTTCATTTATAATATTTTTGTGAGAAAATACTATACATACAGGCATACCTATCACTTAAACCATTATATAGGAAGAAATCACAACCAAAACTGTATGGGCATAGGTTTAATTCATTTCAGATTTTATTATTCGTCAACAATTTTCGTCATAATATATTAAATATTGTAACCTTCTGCCATATGAAGGATTAGTTTTCATGAAAACCCTAATGTGAGGCGCATTTCAAATAATAAACCTATGGAGTCCAAGAATTTTCCTATTTTAATTCCTAATATATCCTTACACCTTGCACGCGGTTTACGGGGATAGAATGAAAACAGTAAAGACAGTGAAAGACCGCAATTCTCTCATTATTCTAAGTCTTCAAAGTTTTTCCCCGTCATTTCTGTCATGTTTTTTTATTGATTTTTTTTTTTTTTTTTTTTTTTTTTTAATTTTGTTCTCTTATTCAGATAAAGTACACTTTTTCATTTTTGCAATGTCCTTTTATGTTTGCTAAACTGGACGAGAAAACCGGCGAACGCGTTATACAATCGAACCCAATACCTCTACCGGCTCTGAACGTAAGTATATTTTTAATTTTCAATTCAAAAAAGTTTTATATAAAAAATTGTTATTCCAAAAATTATTTTTTTTTTATTTTATCAGGAAAATCGGTCAAAAACCGATCAAAAATATATTATCCCTTATACGTGAATAACTTTAAGATAAATTACTGCAAATTCTTTTCTTAAAATTAACTTGCAATGAATTAATGAATGAATCGTTTGACCTATCTTTTCTTTTACCTAACTACATGTCACTCTACTGTAGTAAGCTTTTTTCAATGCCTAAATACGGCCAGTTGAAATCTATTTAGGACACAGACAGTGAGGACTGTCCAATATCAAAAGCAGCGTTTCGAATACCGGGATCATGCAACTATCTGCCTGACAACCGAACTCAAGATATAAAAAATATATGTAATAATGAATTACAAAAGGCAATCCTTTTACGCGATATAAAGCATTTCTTGGATTTTTATAGCAGATTTTTGAATGCGCCCTTTTTAAATGCATGGATTCTTAAGTCTGCGAAATTCGTTTTTGGTGAAAATCGACAAAATTCATGTTGATAGCGTGTGATAGCAGTTTACCAATACGAGTTCTCGTAACCAATAATTCCATTATTGCACTAGTTTTCGAAAAGTTCAAGCGCAAGCATATACCTTCAGCGGCCAATTTACCCAATATACTGCTGCCGTTGCTTAGAAGCTACACTGCAATAAGTTGCATATTATCACTTATGATATGCAGTGCAACTTATTGCAACTTATATCCACTTATGATAATATGCAATGATAGTATTTTTTTTATTATTATTATTATTATTATTATTATTATTATAAATTTAGCCAGAGAATAAATTCTAAGACTAAAGTCTTAAAGCACTAGCATCTGGGGCTATCGGCTTTTATTAAAAAACTCTACCGCACTTGAGGTTTGAACCCACGACTATTGAGTTGCTAGTCGAGACTCTTGCCTACTCGGCCACTCAGGCGGATAGTATTTTTTTTAATACTTTGCATTACTACGGCCTATCGAAAGGGAAACAGTATGAAATGTGTAGAGCGCATGTGATTTGAATTTTTTCATAAAACCGCCAAATCTATGCTAATTGAAGAATTTGAA